CCCCCCCCCCCCCCCCCCCCCCCCGTATTGTCCATCTATTTGTAGAACACTTAATTTTTATGCAGTTCATACTACACATTCAGGAATTGAATAAAGTACAATTGCTAATGTTATGGTACATCATGTCTTAAAAAGTTACACGGTCTTTAACATTTAAAAACAGTGAGTGGCATGTTTGTGTCTTCAACAATTTCTAATTCAGGGAAGCAATATGTTTAAATGAAGGGTACGAGGTTTCCTTAAGCCCTTAATGCTTTAACTCAAAACTGAAATTGTTTTTGTTTAAAATCATATTCATAACATTTTTTTTATTGTGTTCTAAAAGGATGTTAAAATCTATCTAAAGCGTTATATCTAAAACGCTTCCAAAATACTTTTGTAAGTAATAATTGTAAAACTGAGTTGACTGTCTTATAACACTAGGGATGCGTAAATAAAAGACATTTAAACAAAACAAGCATGCATCATATAAATGCAAGTTAGAAAAAATTTATGATAAAGCCATCATATATATTTCTGTTTAATGTCTTTTAGCGATGTGATAGTTCTCTTCAGATAGCTTTGCCTGCTAAGTTTCATCGAGTGTCAGATTCAATGCTGTATTTGACTGAAGGATTTGGGAATAGCACTCGCATTGATTACGGAACAGGCCATGAGAATGTGCTTTCTGCGATGCTCTTGTGTTGCTGCCTCACAAAATTTGAGAGCTTTTGTGAAAGAAGACAATGTTGCTGTTCGTTACAAGGGTACCTTATATAGGTAAAGCAAGTCATAACAATTTAAAAACTAAATAATATAAATAGTGTAAATAAACCTGCAGCCACTGCTTACCAACTTTAAAGACTTTATGCCGTCTATGCCAATCATTAGCATTTGATACACTGCTAACTAATTCAAACTTTGCTAACATATCTTTGATTGTGGCCTATGTCAATTTTTCTGCTGACATGCCACAAATAAGTAAGTAATTCATATTTAATTTGTGTATGTTAAACATAGAATAAACATTACATTAGTATAAAACTAGAGTTTCATTGAATCACTCAATTTTAGTTATCAGAAGTAAACATAGCATAAAAGAAATAAAATATTATGCTGAAACAAAGCAACGGCAGAAACATTAGTAATAATATTGTGCAAAAGTGTGATTATTAATGATTATGATAAAAAAAATTATTCCCATTATTTCATTTCTGATTACTTGTGGTCTCATTATTAACATTTAATAACAAAGTATTACATAATTATCTTTAGATATTTAACCATTGGTTCGCCTAAACTTCAGTTAAAATTCGAATGGAACCTGCAGGAAGTCATGGAGTGTGAGTTTGGAATGACTATCATTGTTCCTTTCATCTGGGGAAGTTTAGCTTGTAGGTATGCGGACATCAATTTTAAAAACAGAAAATCCACATCCTTTGGGCTATAAAAGGCACCAAAGAAAGTTAAGATTCTTGTTATATGGAAAAATGTCCCATACCTGGTAGCCGATATGCCAAATCACTCACATGGACAACGCTTTCCTTGTTAAGTGTAGAAAGCACTAGTGCTGACCTCATGCGTTAGTGAAAATAAATATCAACCCCCTCCAAAATTTCTCTAAACAGGTTAAGTACATTGAAATAAATTTTCACCAAATATACAGCTCACTAGGGCGCGTTCATCCAGTAAAAGTTATACTTTTGGATGAGTATTTTTAATTTTAAGATATTGGTCTACACTTCATTTTGTTTTTAAACAATCTCTCTTTAAAAAAAAGTGAGTGGCATGTTTGTGTCTTCAACAATTTCTAATTGAGAAAGCAATATGTTAAATGTAAGTGTACAATCTTTCCTTAAGCTTAATGCTTTACTCCAAAACATTGTTTTGATGTTGTGAGGGCACAATAGAAGACATGGTATGAAACTCCAACTTTGAGCTGTTGGGTCCTATTTAGACTCCTAGCATGTAGTATTAATATCGAGAGGTTGCAGTATACAATTGTGAATGGTTGCTGTGGTCACTAATTCTGAAGAAGCATGAATGTTTTAGAAGCATGAAATTGTTTTTGTTAAAATCAATATTATAACATTTTTTTATTGTGTTAAAAGGATGTTAAAAATCTATCTAAAGTCATACTCAAAAGTTCAAAAATAAACTTTCGTAAGTAATAATTGTAAAACTGAGTTGACTGTCTATAAACACCTAGGGATGTAAAATAAAGACATTAAACAAAACAAAGATGATCATATAATGAGTTAGAAAAAAAATTTATGATAAAAGTATCATATAATTTCTTATGTTTTTAGCGATGTGATAGTCTCCTTCAGATAGCTTTGCCTGCTAAGTTTCATCGAGCTGTCCCAGAACTCAATGCTTATTTGACTGAAGGATTTGGGAATAGCACTCGCATTGATTACGGAACAGGCCATGAGATGTCCTTTCTGATGCTCTTGTGTTGCTGCTACAAAATTGGAGCTTTTGTGAAAGAAGACAATGTTGCTGTTGTTACAAGGGTATTTCATAGGTAAAGCAAATGTCACAACATTTAAAACTAAATATATGAATAGTGTAACATAAACACTGCCAGCACTGTATACCAATTTAAAAGACTTTACTCGCCTCTATGCAAATCATTAGCATTTATTACACTGTAAACTAATTCAAACTTTGTAAAATATACTTTGATTGTGGCTATGTCATTTTTCTGCTGACATGCACAAATAAAGTAAGTAAATCATATTTAATTTGTGTATGTTAAACATAGAAATAAACATTTACATAGTATAGAAACTAGAGTCATTGATCACTCACTTTTAGTTATCAGAAGTAAACATAGCATAAAAAGAATAAAAATTTATCTGAAACAAAGCAACGGACCAGAACATTAGTAAATAATGTGCAAAAGTGTGATTATTAATGATTACTGATAAAAAAAAAAATATTCCAATATTTCATTTCTGATTACTTGTGTCTGCATTATTAACATTTAATAACAAAGTATTCAATAATTATTTTAGATATTTAACATTGGTTCGCAAACTTCAGTTAACATATCGAATGGAACCTGCAGGAAGTCATGGAGTGTGGAGTTTGGATGACTATCAGTTTGTTCCTTTCATCTGGGGAAGTTCTCAGCTTGTAGGTATGCCACATCATTTTAAAACAGAAAATCCACATCCCTTTGGGCTATAAAGGCACAAAGAAAGTTAAGGATTCTTGTTATATGAAAATGGGTAGGCACTTGTAAAATATACATGGTTAGTGAATAAAATCAACCACCTCCAATATTCTCTAAACAGTTTAAGTAATTGAAATAAAATTTTCACCAAATGATACAGGTTATAGGGGCTCATCAGTAATAGTTATTAGCTTTTGGATGGTATTTTTAATTTTAAAGATATTGGTCTAACTTCATTTTTTTTAAACATTCACTCTCTGCAAGGGACAAATATATTTTTCACAATTTCTAGACTGTCTTGTTTATACTTGTGTGTCAATTGTCATTTGGAGGTCACAAAGTGCACTAGACATCTTACACCATGGTGTTTTGAAATTGTGAAATTGAGGCCTTGGAAATGTTTAGAAATCCATCTGCACCATGATCCTGCTATAAGGTAGGATTTTAAGTCATTAGATGGGAGCAGATATCTATGATTTTGCATATTTTGGTACAGCTAAGTAAAATTTCTTGACATTTGGTTAGAATTGGATGTTATGAAGATTAATATGTTAGTACATTTTTGGCCTATTTTTCCTGTTGGCACACATTAGTGTCATTTAAGGTGCACATTTTGCATATTTCATTAAAATAGACTTATCTCGACCATTTTATAAAATCTATTCTTTGTGGGCATTCATTGATTAGAAAGAACTTGTCACAGTTTGCGTAAGTTTTTGTGTTGTTGTGTTTTTAGATGATAAAATACTTGTGCAAATGTAGGATATTTCTTGATATCATATTTTTAAACCAGGAACAAGATATGCAACAAAACATACAATGTACTTCACAAAGTAAAATATTTACTTCAGTTGCTTCTCCCGCAAAGTAAGGTAGTATTATGTTTGCACAAAAATATATACTTTCATTCCAAGTGTGCTTTTCCTGAATTTTATCAAGAATGGTTTATACAGAAAATAAAATGTTGTTAATTTTAATCGCATATTTTTTAGGGCATCTCCCTTTTCATTAGTAATATTTCTGAATTTGTCTTCCCAAGATTTACCAAGACATGAAAAAAAACATAAAGAATTCCATTAAAAACAATGGAGTTATATGTACCAATATCTTTAAAATAAGAAAATGTTATTAAAAAAACTAATAACCGCAACTGATGAGTTTGTCCAGAATCATTTGGTGAAAATTTCATCTTGATCTCTTGAACCGTTCAGAAAATATTCAAGGTGGATGTTTTAATTGATTAACTCTGCATGAGTGTAAGTTTGTATGTGATGTTTGTACATGCAGACATAAAAATGTGTTGTTCGATTATGCATATAACACAATCGGTGATTATTGCAGTTATTTGGAACTCTTGTTAGTGAGGGCTTACTTTAATAGCTTGAAATGTTGATACAGACTACATTGATATTTAGAGAAATGAAATATGGCTTGGTAAAGAGGTTTGCATTGATGTTTATTTAAATATTTGTTTCAGCTCATCCACGGATTGAACCCAAATCTTTTCTAGATAATAGTGTTGTTCAGCAGTATGCTGGCCAATACATGTTTATAGCATGTATTGAATTTATTAACAAGGTATGTGTGCATACCTTGCAAGGATTTCTTCTGTTCTTCAATGTCAAACATATTCCAATTTCTATATTTTATTTTATTATAAGGTTAAAACTGGAGTCTTTGCGGAACATTCAAACCAATTGTGGAACATAAGCGGAGTGGCAACATGGACAAAAATCAATTCAGGTCTAATTAAAATGTACAAAGCAGAGGTATGCATTTGAATATAGATTAAAATATGTGATTGTAATAAATTTCAATGGATAAATTTTAACAATATACATCTCAAAAATTATGACATTTCAGGTGAGAGAAAAACCTTGCAGTTTCCACTACAAGTTAAAAAAATATGAGACTAATTTCTGTTGTTATTACAAATTTTGTGATAAGCATCATTAGAATTTGATAGAAGATGACATTTTTTGGGTAGCATTATTATCTCAAATCAAACACGTTTGAAGATAATATATTTTTAAAATTTAGCCATTGATTTGTCTGTGATAGTAAAAAAAATTTGTTATTTATTTGGATCTTTGTTCAATGTTGTTCTCAGGTATTAGGAAAGTTTCCAGTCATTCAGCATGTTCTGTTTGGCTCTCTGATGACCTTTACAGCTACGAAACGTCCTCTTGGTGGTTTGCGCTCGTTTCGAATGGATGTGACTGAACGTCCCCCTGAAACTCCCGCCACTCCTCCTGACTGAGCACCTTGACGAACTCTTATTGGAGAGTAGTGTCCCTTCACTGGCATTGCACTTAATTTCTTGTGCAGTATTCCAAAGCTTGCTGTGTATTGTCTTTAGCAATTTTATTGTCAGTAATCTTTTTAGAATCTTTATAATGTAACAAAATGTGCATTTGCTTCCCACCAAAATCAAGAATTAACTTACAAGAATAATAAGACTTTGTTAAAACATGATATGTGAATTTTTATTTTCATTCTGAAATTGTGTTATAAAAAATCGTAATGCTATACAATTTTCTTTTTTTCTTTTTCTCCTTACATTTTGAACAGAAATATGCATATGTGTAATTGTTAAAGTTGCTGACCAATTTGTTGTTTGTAGCTAGGAATGTTATTAGATAATTTAATTTAGTCATAATTGTGTAGTGGGAATGTGCCAAAATTTGTGATTAAGGAATTTCTAAGTTCTTTTTTTTAAACATTGTGCCTGGTCTTGCAAGCTGGCCTTCCTTGCTGAAAATAATTTTTGATGCGATACAGCTCAGTATTTTTAATGCAAATTGTATTTTATCACATGGTAGTAGATTTCCCTGCATAATTCTATTTATTCCTTTGATGTGAAAGATTGGAGAATTTGTTTTTCATAATTGTTATATGAATATTTCAAAGTTAGATGATGATTGTTTTGTAAAACATGCAGGTGATCTTCCAGTTGAAATGTGCTATTAAACGATACGTGGTGTGTCATTGTGCATTTATTAAATAACATAACATATCTGTCATTCAATTTCCTAAAATAAAGGGAGGGTAAAAAATATCATCAGTGGTTCACTTACTGTACTCGTTTTGTAGATTAGTTAAGGTTTTGTTTCTAACACCACCAAATTTTATGCGGTAGTGGTAAATGGTGGAGCAAACCTAAAAAGTGAGACTTACACTTGAATTGGACACAAATTGAAATCAACTGAAAAGATTAATTACTGCAGTGCGAAGAGTTGACTTACCAAAATGTTTGGTTTAGTTCTGAACTTAATGAAGAAACAAACAATAGGAATATTAGTGAAGTAGAATAAATTAATCACATAAAATGTAGGAAAATAAAATGTTTCAGGTAACTTCAATGTAATCACAGGAAGATCAATACCCAAAGGTGAAGGTGAAATAAGAGCACCTTGAACTCTCACAAAGAAGTGTGCACTTCAGTCACATGGATTAGCATGCATAAGCAGACAAAGCATATGCTTAGGACCTTCACTGTATTGGATATCCCCAATATCTTCAACATGATTTTACAGTAGTTCATAAATTGCTGGTATTCATACGTACAGGGCAGTACACAAAAAAGTATACAATTTCAGAACTTATCGCTTTCTCGCTACTGTTTACACATAATTGAAAAAGTATTCTAAAGCTGCGTAAAAAAACGGCAAATTTTCGACAGAAAAACTTTTATTGACAGGCCCTGGTAACAAAAAAGTGGATAAATCTTGATTTATTAAAATAAATGGCATCATTGGTTTTGATTAAATTTTGTTGGTGGATAATCTGAAAGACGTTTAAGAGAATGGCACAGGTATCATGTAGTTTGAAAACTTGATTTTTCAAAAATTGAAAAATTCAAAATTTTAGTAGTGAATGAGTCTTTTTTGCAAAATTGTATGACAAACAGGCAATTTTTGTTTAAATCACTTTTTCTTAAAAACCGCACAGCTTTTCTTTATTAAATTGGGAACTTAGCATAAAGGACGCTTAAGAGAATGGTGCAGGTCTTAAGTTCATTGAATTGCATAATTTTCTGAAAATTAAAAAAAAAAAAAAGTCGGCATTTTCATACAACTATAATTGTGAAGATACATTTTTTCTTCATGAAATGTGTTTATCAAAAATAGATCTTCGAATAATGCCTTGGCCAGTTTCTTAAAAATTTTTTAATTTTTTTTTTAAATTGGCGATTAAATTAAATGCCCGCAGCAATTTACTGCGCTCCGTGAACGATTCCACACATGTGAATGTTGCGTAAGTAAGAATTTGTATATTATTTAGTATTGCTTTCGATTTTTTTTACATTCGACCTTTTGTTATACATCTACACATTAATCTTTTAGAAATTATTTAAAACCTATTTGAAATATATGAAATAAAAATTGCTAACTTTCGTGGAATATCAACATTACTGGGAATGTAAAAAAGGAATTTCACTTCGCGCTCGCGAATTCCTGTGAATTACATCTCATTGTGGTGACATTTAGCTGTATCAAAATGAGCTATAATTGTCAAATTTGTGTGAATAGTTGCTTGAAAATATTTAGTTAGTAATATGCGTTAAAAATATAGTGAGCTACAGATAATATTTATCTAAATCTTTATTTTACATTGTAGTACAGAACGCGTATAACAAAAACATATTTTCAAACATAATAAACAAAAAAATATTAAGCAACGAAAATGTCTCGCTCCAGCCTACTTCTACGCAGAAACTTGAAATATCAGCTCTTAAATATGCCACATAATTAAAAATACGCAGTTAGTGAAAAAATTGTAGAAATATGCAATTACGCAAAGTAAATACGAGCTACTTTTGTTAATTTTTGATGGTAGGTGAAGTTATATACATTTCCTTCCAGTACGTGCAATCAATTTGAATCAGTTGTCTGAATGCTGATGTAAATAAGCGTTTTTGCAAAGAACTCTTATTCGCCAAGCGAAGGCAACATGGTTTTGACAACTCTGCAGTGGTAACAGTGCGTTGCTCTCGTCTGTATATTTTGCTGCGAATACTGTATCAGTCAAATGTATTCCGGTTTGTTTCGATTGTCAAAGTAAGAAATGATTGCTGCTCCTGGTTATCGAAATAAATGCAGCTATGCATCACAGGCGCTTTGTTTTTGATTTGGACGTTTTCAAGTATTGGTCGAGGAGTTAGTAGCGCAGAAAATGCAACACTTTAATGTTGCCGTTTTCAATAACGCGAGAAAGTATGTGCTGTAGTACCACTAGTTTTCTTTAAATTTCATGTAAGAATAGAGTGAAATACAGCTTTCTATCTAGAGGTGTTGGCTAGTCCCATTTTCGGTGCATTTCTTATTTTTGTAAATTGAAAGTCGAAATGGTAGGTTTGGAAAGCGTAAAAAGAAACACACCTCTCAACATACCAACTCACGACATATTAATACTTACTGAAACATTTGCTACCAAAGAAATAGATTTACAAGGATACTATGGTACTCACAGCCTAGCAACACGGATAAGCCGGAAGACCCAGCTGTAAAATATCGTGTTACTTCAAGCCCACATTAGCGTCAATGAGAATACTACAAAAGACCACAAACACCATAACAATCCAAACTAAACTATTCACAGTTATAGCAAGCTACTGCCAACCGGCATTTCAAATAGAAAATATAATTCCATAACTAAACGAAGATCTAGCGAAAGCAGGAGACAACCCAATTGTACTTGCAAGAGATAATAACTGCCGCACCGATATAAGATAACGGAGCTACTGCTTAGAATACCTACAAGAAGGGTTTGAACTGATAAACAATCCTATAAACCCAAAGTACATATTATATGCCACGACTGAAGAAGCACAATCGATCTAGTATTCTTGAACTCAAGAACGAAAGCAATGACTAAATCTATGCAAGCAGTGGCGGGATTTCGGATCTTTTATTGGGGGGCATAGGGTCCCGCCGCATAAGATGATAGAAAATTCCCCTAAACCAAATGGCATATATGTAATAATTCTAATATAAACATATTTTTGAAAAAAAAAATTAGCACCCGTCCCACCACCCACACCATTCCAAAGCCAAAAATGTGTTATTTTAATTTTTTCGACAACTTAACACTATTTTATCTTCTTCAAAAAATATGAAAAATAAAAGAATTTATACTACCAGAAAAACATTTTTTTTACGTTTTCTCAGCACCAATTTCAAACGCAAAGTTAAAAAATAACAAAAAATAATTTTTACTGTCTTAGAACCCTTGAAAGTTCTTAAAACAGAAAAGTGGATTTTTTCAGATTTTTTGGTGCTGAGCTGTAGTTAAGAAAATAAAAACCATTTTACCATATTAAATCACATACACTTTGAAAATGGCTGCAATAGTTCTGTGCAATTATTTCAGTGTTTATTACACATTTGTAATGACAATTGATGTGTTGTTCAAATAAAATGAAACTTTTTTGATAATAGTTCCGACATTATGATTAAAACAAAACATTCACTTTCATAAGAAAGAAGAAGTGAAATTACTCTAATAACATTGAATATAACAGAAAATATGCAGTAAAGAAAACAGGTTCTTTTTTTTCTCAGTGCTCACTAGGCATTAAACAAATATCATGCATTAGTTACAATATACCTTACATTATAATGGAAAACATCCTTACAAAATTTAATACAATACATATTTTTACTCGACGTCTTTTGTATATTGTCACTTTTTAAAAATTGTAAACGCGCAATATGATCTCTAAGAAACTACGTTCACGCTAGAAATACCAGATCATAGAAAAGTTAGTCACTCGGTGACTTTCTTGAATCCGTACGTTTCGTAGCGTTGACAGATTTCTTCTTTTTAAAATCCGTTAAAAAATAATTTTACTTGAAGAACGGCCTACAAGTAACAGGAACTGGAAATCACAAAGATTTTTATTGTATCGCGGACTCACGAAACGTTTCGCGAGAATCATTCAAAATATGCACAAAAATGCACATAAAAATCATCTGTAAACTTCTCTTTAGCGTTATTCTCTAACAAGATCATTCTCAATTAGTTCTGAAAATTCTGTCGCAAACTCTTCTACAACTACATTTTATTATTCCCCGGATTTGCTTAACACTTCCATATTTTTGTCCTCTAATTTCTGAAGAGATTAAAACTCCATGAAGTCAGTCTAATTGTGTTTACTTCTTCTTCTGCAATTGCTCTATTTATCGTTTTGTAGGCGAATCTATATAAACATGACAAGGCGATTGTTTTATATGTTTATGTGAATAAGGTGTTGGTTACAATGGTTTCATATGAATAGTTGTTACTCACCTTTATTTAACAATCGGCGTTTGCACGCTTAAGAATGTAAATGTGAGAAGTCGAACGTAAGAACGTAAATACCCTTCTGTAACGTACAGTTTGATTTTCTCCGCATTTGCCTGAAGTTCAAGTTCAATAAGTTCCAAGGCAATACTGTACGTAGGTTTTTGCAAATGTATTTTTAAAAAAGTTAATACGGAAGTCAATTAAATGAAATCTGACGCGCGGCGATTTACTTGTATTCAACGTAATCTACATACATCTATTTGGGTGGCGTTGGTTTAATTCCCAGCATATTCATAAATGGCAGCGTTAAAACACGCAAAAACACGTTTTTGGAATCTTCGGGCCGGCATCTAAACAAATTAATTCCCACCAGGAAACCGCGAGACGCACTCGAATGACACTAATATCGTCTATATCTATTAGTGACAGGGGTCAATGCTCTACGTGGAGTGACGGATCCGCACAAACACACCACGTTATCAACATCAAGGGATTTGTTAATTTCAAATACAGAAAAAAGTTAATATTTATATATAAATTTGAAGGTACGCGAATAAGGTCTAAATACTATTTTTTTTAGATTTGTCAACATCGGGGGGGGGGGAAGAGTTTTTTGTCCATCTCTGCCCCCCTGAATCCCGTTTCTGTATGCACTCAACCATCAGTCAACATGCATTTAGAAAACACATGCCAGTTCTCACAACGATAGACACAAAAGCTACCACAAAGACAAACACAAAACATCCACAAGGGAAAATAAGAAAACAACTGGATCGGACAAAAATAGCGACTTCACAAATGGAAATAAGGGAAGTAATTAACAAAGAGAAAATTGAAGAAGCAACAACGCCGATAGAGCAAACAATGAAATCAGCCCAAGTAGCACATGCCGAATGCTACAAGGAGAGGTAGAAGGTACTACAACATTTACACAGACTACAAAGCTTGGAAACCACTCCAGACAGTAGAATCTACGCTCAAGCAAGACAAAAATACAAAACGCTTCTGAAAAGAAAACAAGAAAAACACATAGAACAAGAGGCTCAGAAAATCATACATTTAGCGGAAGGCAATCCATTCGCAACTCTCCAACCATCTCGGTCATTCTCTACACGGAAAACACAGAGAAAGCATACAACGCAAACGCAGAGAAAACAGAAAACTTCTACCCAATAACAGAGGACGAGGCAGCAGAGACAATTCTAGGATTAAAAACTGGGATAGCTGCTGGACCAGACGAAAGTACAATGAACACTTAAAAGAAGCCC